CATTCAAGTTCCTGGACAGCAACCCAGTTGTTGTGGGTGGAGGGTTTGGGGTTTGAGCTTCGGGGTTGTCTTTTAAGAGTTTAGGATTGGGAGTTTGGGGGCTTAGGATTTGGGGTTTCAAGGTTCGAGATTTAGGGTTTGAGTTGTAGGTTTAAGGTTTGGGGTTTAGGGTCTGGGTTTAGGGTGCGCGGGGAGGTCCCAGCGACATTATCAGCCAGGGGGATCATTGTGGCTTTGGGGGCGGGGTTGCCATAATCCCTTGGATTTGAGCAGGGAGATGGGACATCCTCCAGAGGGGGCAAATTAGGCGCTAAAGAGGTTCATGGCGGATATTTCTGGCTTTCCGGAGGGTATATTATGTGTATCTATATATATATATGTGTATATGTATATGTTTCCAAAGATTGGGGTCCTGTTGCAGGAGTCTTTATGCGAGGAGGGATCCCCATCTACGACAACCCACTTGCGGCGGTTTAGGCTAGAGGGTTAGCCAAGCACTTACTTTCCCCACGGTGGAAGCCGGCACGGAGAAAGCAGTTGTTGCCCCTAAACCCCAAACCAACACACCCCACCCGCCGAGACCTGCTGAGCAAGAGGGTGCTTGCATTGTTGAGGGTCTGCAGGATTTTGGTCGAAGGTCTAGGGCACAAGCCCCGAGGCCCCAAACTAGCGTGTTAACCCCAAACCAGGAACCCTTAAACAAGGATGTCAATGTTCAATACTTTTCCTTTTCCCGTCCCAAAGCCCAAGACACTGGTGATAGGTGGCGCCAGCGCCGGCAAATTCGACTTCCCAGAGAAGGCTCTCAGTCGCCCAGACTATGCCACAGAGGACTCTATGAAGGGTGTAATGATTAATGTAGACCCCCTTAAGTAGATAGAATATGGCGTATATGGGGATCTTCTTCTAATATATCCAGAGCCATATTCTATCTACTTAAGGGGGACTAGAATGTAAACCCATGATTAATAAACCTCTCCTTTTAAGGGCGTAAATCTTCGGATCCCTAGTATAGTCCCTATTAAGGGGAGTGGGTTTATTAGTCAGGGGTCTGGGTTGGGACTTCGGATTTGGGGCTTAGGGCATACGGTTCAGAGTTCATTAGGTCTTAAGGCTTAGAGCTTAAAGTTTAGGGTTTAGGGCCCTTAGGGTGTATAGTGTTTGGGTTTAGGTCTTAGGGCTAAGTGCCTAGGGCGCAGGGTTTTTTTTGTTTAGAGGTTATTGTTCAGTACTGAGGATGTTGTATCACGTAGACCTTGAACATTTACAGTATAGAATCCTGAATGTCTCTCAACGTCATGGTCCCGAGAGTCCTCGTATATTTTTTGTATAGGATACCCCAACCAGACCTGAACATGATATCGGTGCTTATGTTGGCCACCAAATTCCCTATACTCCCCCATGTAAAACATCCATGTCTCTTCCATGTTCTTTTCCATGTATTTCTCCACTACTCAGGCAATATACCTAAACCCTATGCAATCCCAATCTAAACCCTTTTACAACCCCTATATGATCCCAATAGGCATGATTTGGGAGACCAGGCCGCGATCAATGTCCGCTCTACCTTATTGGCGCGTAAGGGCGAGTGCAATGGGGCAGGAAATAGAGCTTTCGACTTTAGGGTTTAGGGTCTAGGACGTAGGTTTTTTCAACTTAGGATTTGGGAAACCACCCGGAAGGTTCAAGTACCAAGTACCTGGACCCCAAAGGTATGTAAAATCATGGCCTCTATGGCTGTTGTTATGGGTTTAGGGTTATTATTTTGCATACTTTTGTAGGTAGGGGTTTAGGGTTAGTACATTGACAGTATACATGGGGATTAGGTAAGGATAGGCACAAGCATTCACTCCCCCGCACTCCTGATGAGCAGCAGTAAGTTTTGGGATGTAGAATGGTTGGGGGACTCTACGAGCCAGTGGCATACGGATGGGTGAGGATATCGATGTAGGTAATTCTCGAAGTAGCGGGCCCCTGTTGGTTATAGATTATATTACGGCACCTAATTTTTTAGCGTTACCAAAATGGGACTGCCCATGTGAGGTCAGGTTTCGTTTCAGTTCAGGATGTCGGGCTTTCTTCCTTTCAAGAGTTTCAGGCTCGCACCCCTGGAATTGTATCCGTACCCCTTTTAAACGGAACCGGGCACGGATTCAATAACGGCTCATGTAGGGGCTAATATGAGCAATAGTCTACAATCCTTTGGGGTTCTATCGGGGATTATATAGGGGACTATTACAGGGGGAAGTAAGGGGATACTAGGAGTTTAGACTATAGCTCATATAAAGGCCACATTAGGGCCATATTGGGGAGCCCCTAGTGGGGTACGACCTTAAGGGTACAACCCAGGAAGCTTTTGATAATTTGGTAAAGATTTGGGGGGTACCGATAAAAAGTAGGCAGAAAATAATTCATTGTATATGGTATTCCATAAGAAGAATCTCATCCTACTTGGTTCAACCACAAAAAAATCCACATGAACCTGCTCAATGGAAAGCTTTCATGACGTCTGCAAGGGTCCTCCTCAACCTTGCTGCGGGATGGCGAGTCTACAACTTAAGCCGAACTCCCTCCCCCCCAAATGGGAGATTTTTCCTATGAATTTGGGGTCCCTGCGTGGGGGTACTTCTCTTTGAACTTATAGTTTTGGGGTCTAAATTGGTTTTGGTGCATGCAGACGGTGTACATCTCCCCCGTGAAAACAGAGTAGGAGCCTGGATACACTGTCCCCCAACAAGAAACACCATGTCGGCACATGCTGATACGTCTTCGTGACAGAAAGCTTCCCTGCACCCTGAAACGTAAGCCTTTAACTCCCCTAATCCCTAAGGACTACCTGGAACTCCAAACTATGTAGAATAATGGGTTTAGGGTTTAGGGTTTAGGGATGGCTCGTTTTGCACTGCTGTTAGGAGTTTTGGGCCAGGTATCACTAAGCCTTAAACGGCAAGACTCAAGTTCGCAGCCCGGAGCCCTCTAGAGGAAGCCTTGCTGTCCAAAACTGCATCAAGAGTTCCTAGCTTAGGGTGAAGGGATTCGGGTTTGGGGTTTGCCGTTTAGGGATGAGGAGTTACGGTTTAGGTCCACTAACCCCACAGAGCCTTCAGCCCTTAAAGCGTGGAGCATCTCAACGCAGTCCCAGGAGAACCCTGGTTTGGGGTTTCCTGAGCCCTAAATCCTAAACCCTGAATCCTGAGCCCTAAACCTTACATCCTAAACCCTAGAATCCCTAAACATCTCTGGGTTCAGGGTTTAGGGATTAAATTCTTGTATTTGGAATCTATCTCTCACGCCCTGAACCCCTGAGGGCGCTTGCCTTGGTAGGAGCAGTGGCGGCAGCTGGTTCAAAATACTCCGCCGCGAGATGCCGCTACATCGGTGCGGGGGAGGGGTTTATAGGATTTAGGGGTTAGGATTAGGGTTTAGGGGTTTAGGGATTAGGCTTTAGGTCGGGTACTGCCCCCACGCAGTAACAGTTGGATAATATTCATATTATGGTTATATATGGCCCTTAATAGGCCCCCTAATATAGACCGTTACTGGGTGGGGGCAGTATCCAAGGTGTACGTTAAGTCCGGGGGTTTGGGCTTAGGGGTTCAGATTGCGGGGTAGCACTATCTAGGATTAGGGTTTAGGGTTTAGAGGTTCGAGGTTCAGGGTTAAGGGCTTTGGGGATAAGGGTTTAGAGTTCTATAGGAACGCAGAATGATTTTTTAGACCCTGGCACTTTCTGTTTTTGAGCATGCGGTGGGGTAAGAAGAAGAACTGGCACGGTGCATAGGGACTGAGTACAGAAGTTAGGAATGTGGAGACCTCTGGCTGTTATAGGGCTTTCAGGGCTTAGGACCTTAGGATTTCAAAGCATCTGAACATCATAGGATGGCTATAGCGTCCCCATTTCGGGCTGGTTACCAAATCCTCCTGCTATCTATGAGTTTCATTCAATGGGGTGCCACAGAAACTGCCACAGCAAACGCCAGCTGGTTTTTTGTTGTCGGTCCTTTGAAAAAAAGAGAAAAGATAAGCCTCGTCAGGCCGACAAGCACTTTAGGGTTTAGGATTTAGGGTTTAAGGTTCAGGGTTCGGGGGCAGCTACAGAGTTTGCAGCAATTCGCATTTTGGACCTGATGCAATTTCACCTCGTGGTGCCGAAGCTCTGAAACTTAGTTCCAACGATCCTTTTAAGGGACTATGGTGTACCCTAAGATTCCAAGTACTCAATATCAGGGCTTTAGGGGCCAGATACCAATTGGATCATAGCATTTGTGACTCAACACGATTACCTGGGCACTTGCACCCGTAGAGTTTTGGGTTTAGGATTCTTCTTGGAACCCTGCACAGACATGCACAGGTAGGTTTTCTAGGTCTGAGCCGTAAAGCCTAAACCCCAGCTTGAAGTGTTTTGGCCACCTGGAAACCCTGCTGACGCGAAACAGGATGAGCTTGCTCCTCATGTCCTAGTAACACTGTTCATTCAGGTTTCGGGTCTATGCTGCTGTTTTTTTTCCTGAGTAAGAGATCACAATGCCAGTGGGTAGTTAGGCGCTTGCTCTTGAGCAGCGCTTGCAAAGCATTTTTCTGAGTTCACCCACTGGCCACAGGGTCCTGAGCAGTTTGGCCTGAGGCGGGAGAACCTATAGGTTGAGGAGCGTGATGTCCTTGCAGCAAGTACACAGTAGCTCCAATGGCTGACTGCCTTGAAACCCTGCAGAGAAATGCTCGCTTTTTTAAGAGTTCAGGGCTTATTCTGAACTATTCGCCACTTAGAGGCCCTGCCAAGGAGAACTAGCATCAACTTTTTTGCTGATTTCGTACCAGTGTTGATTTCCCTTGAACCGTAGTCAACCAGGATGTCGAGATCATCCGTATAACTTGGGTACTGCCCCCACCCACCAACAGTTGGATAACAACTTAAACACGATGATATATCGCCCTTAACATTACCAGACAGTTAATGGCTAGGCGCAGGACCCAACCTAAAACCCTTGGCAAGCGAAGAGGTTGCCGAGCTGCTGGAGAAGCTGCTGGAGGTAAGGCTGCATTACGTTGGCTGGAGTATGTGGGGCGGGGGGCGGGGGTTCCCAAAGTTCGGGGTCCCTTCAGCGGGGCTTACTGGGGTTATATAGTCTTTAGTGTTTTGGGAGTAGGGTTTCCCAACATTAGGGGTACCATTTCTTGGGCTCCCATAAGCAGGGTTGTAGTCCCCTCAAGTCCCAATTGCCCATATTCCCAATGAAGCACCATGGTAGTCTAGGGTGAATACTTATTCTTTGTGGGGTGGAAGGGAGTTAGTATTCTAGGAGGCTTGGGGGTTTAGGGCTCCACGGTTAGGCAACTGGAACGGGCTTCCGTGCAACAGGCTTTAGGTTTAGGGTTGGGGTTTTGGGTATATCAAGCTTGGCAGATGACAGCACCTTGCGGAGATGGAATACATAAATCCTGGTATTTCCATATACTAACAGACCTGTGTTTTTTGGATAAGATCCTCCAATGTCAGGCTTGGAACAAACTCCGTATGTAAACCTAAATCCCAACCCAAGCCTTCAAAACTCAAGGCCTAAACCTAAGACCCGAAACCCTACAACTCCACACCTATAACCCAATACATTAAGCCCTAAGCTCCTAAACTCCCAAAGCACTTGAAGTCGTCTATTGCAGCTGCTGAAGCTGTCCATCCCTACTCCGTCAGTGATCTTTTTGGTGGCTTAGGAGTTTGGGGTAAAGCTCCAACCTTCCCCCTAAGTCACCTGCAAGCCAAAGTCTGAACCTTATAAACCCTAGACCCCAAACCCAAACCGGAATAGGGTCTAGGGTTTAGGGTTTAGGGGTTTAGGGTTTAGGGGAACCTCTAAGCGCATGCAGGCTATAGTACTCATTCCCTCTCACCTCCAACCTTTTGAACCTTTTGGCCTTCTCAAGAAAGCCATGGGTCGTGAGCTTGAATCAAAACTGTCCAATGTCTGTGGGGGGGGGGGTTCTCAAGATTAGGGTTCAGGGCTTCGCCTAAGGAACCTTTTTCGGGGTCCCTATGATAAGGATTATTGTATTGTTGGGTCTATATTGCGATTCTGGCATTGATGGAAACTCCCATGACTAGACTGGTATAAGAGCAATTGCGGAGAGGCAATGCGCATCCAAATGTGGCCCATTTCGCAATCCCTGGGGCCTAGGTTTTTGGGTTCAGGGCTATGCCCCCGAGATTCCCCCCAAAAGTTGTAATCCTTACTCCAGGTGTCCCTAGACGTAAACTCCAAAATCCCTAAACCCTATATGCCAGCCTTCCTATTTTGGAGGGAGGCTCAAAACTGTCAATGCCAGGTCAAGGGTAGAACCTCCGCGCAACTTTGGCTGCAGTTTGGAAGAGGAAAATTGCCTGACCGTGAAAGTATGTAGAAGAAGGATGTTTTTGTGACAACTTTCATGGTTTCGGACGGTTTTGGGACCATCATTTTGCTATTTTTGGAGCTTAGGCTCGTTCCGGCTCTCGACTCCAAATCTAAGGACCCATCATGCAACACTCACACACTTTGGGATTCTTGTACTACGCATCGTTAGTCATGTTTGGGGGAGTATATGTTCATCATATACTTTGGATCCCTAGTACAACAGTAACTAGAATGGTTGTAAACCCATTGAACAAATCTGGAGCCCGGAGGGCAACTATTCCACATATGGGGTTCATCTCTTACCTAGCATGCAGGTGTACGATTGATGGTGCAGAAGTCTCACATGAAAGTTTGTCAAAATCATCCTTACATAGCCTCGAATGAGGACCCCAAAATCTCCTGATAGTGCCGTCCCTGAGGGCTGCATAATTTGAAAAACATCCTTTTTCCTTCCCCGGCTGCCTTCCCGAAGGAAGCGCAGGATTTAGGGTTTAGGGGTTCAGGGTTTAGCGTTTAAGGTAGGACATTATAATCTCACACCCAACAAACCATAGCAAACCGAAAAGGCAGCTACATAGAACTCCTTTTGTAGGGCTCAGGGTCTGCAGTCAAATTCGGGGGGAGGTGGAGTTCACATTCGTGTGTTGGCCACATGGGTGGTTTCCCAAAATAGATTACCAATGTTGTTGCCCGGCGTACTAGGTGCCATAATATAATATAACCCTAAGGGTCCAAGTACCTGATAATCATGTACTTGCCCAAAGCCTGTACTATAATTCCTTTTTACCCAAACCCCAAGTACCTAATCATTGGGTGCTTGGATCCTCTGGGTAATGGGTAGCCACCCAACGAGCCCACATCTCGCAGAACGACTCTCATCCTTCCGGTGTTTGGGGCTCAGTGCCGAGGTATCCGTCGCAGCAGGCTACCATATTTTTGCTAAAGACCTCTAGAAGCCCTGGGCCTCGTGTACTTAATCCAATTTGTGTAGGGTGGGCTTAGTTCAGGGTCTACCTGTAATCCCAGTTACCTAAACTTCAGTAGTTGTTCCCCTGAAATAATAGGTAGAACCGATGAAGCTGTAAGTCCTAGGCCTGAATCGGTCTGTTCCTGCAAAACGGATTCCGTTCGCGAGTGAATATGCCCAAAGGGTCCATGTAGATAATCTAGTGTATATGTAGGGCCCAAAGGGGCTCCCATACAACTACTTCAGGGCCAAAGGATGTATTAGATAGCTACATGCAAGCCCCTAAACCCTAAACCCAACCCTAAACCCTAAACCCTAGAGATGGGAATGCATATCCTCTTCTTCTAGCTGCCCGTCCTTGGCAGATTTTCTCAGAGAACTACTAGGACCTCCATGCAAACGCGTGTCTCAAGAGACCCTTCCTTTCCGAGGACTTTGTTCATTTAACAGCCCGAAGCCACATATGGATCTCCCAAACGCCACCAGAAGTGGCAATTGGCATGTAGGTTATGATTAGCATTAGCATCACTAGTGTTGTGTATGTTTGTCATTCTGGCTATTCTGATTATTGTCATTATGGATATTCGGGAGGTCTAGGTAAACCCCAAACCCTCAAAGGACAGCTTCCGTAATGGAGATTGATTCGCTTGCCTGGAGCTTAGGGATCTGCTGGCCTTGGGGGAAGGTTTGGCGTTTAAGGGTTTAGGGTAAAGTATTTTGGATTTAGGTGCAGGGCTTAGGGTTTAAGGTGTACATGAGTGCCGAATTTAGGTTTGATAACTTAACGAAGTCAGGCTTTTCAGCGTGACGATCTTGTAGTCTACATGTTGTGTACTGCCCCTAAACCCTAAACCCCTAAACCCTAAACCCCGGCAACAGTTAGACAATGATAAGACTCGGATCCCCAAAGTATGTAGAAACATGTACGTTTTGTCTGTGTTTGGGCTTCGGGACCAGTACTTCACATACTGTTGAAGTCCTGGTCACAGCAACATGAACGATGACAACAAAGATTGCAGTTATGTATAGCCCCTGCAAGTATTAATTCGCCCTATTCAAGACTGTTGTCTGATAGGGGGGCAATGCGAAATCTGCAGGGCTCAGGGTTCATGTAAACCCCAAACCCTAAACCTCTAAACCCTGCTGGAAGCTTTCAGCCATGAGCAAAAAGGCTGCCGATGAAAGTCAGTCGTGCAAACTGCCTCAAGATAGTCCTTCGGGGTCAGGGCTTATGCTTTCTAAGCTTTAGGGCGTAAGGTCTAGGTTCAGGGTTAAGGCCTAGGGTTCCACGGGGCTTCAAGAGCACTCAGGCCTTTCAAATCCGCTTTGAGCGCATGAGGCTTTCAAAGCTGTCAGGGTCTCGCATCCAAAGCGCAAACCTTGAAGCCCTAATCCTGCGCTGGAGCGTGAGAACCCCAACTCCCCAAATTCAGCTCTTGATTCTAGCCATATGATAGTTGTAGTGTCGACCCAGGCCTTTGGTTAAATCCTGCGATGAGCTTCCACTTCCGGATCCTAAAGACCTTTTAAGAAGACACCAAGTCCTGCATCCCGCCAAAAACGAAAAGATCCACGCCTTTAAGCGAAACTTAACATCCCTATGGCAAAGGCGCTCCTTTTAAGCTAAGGCCACCGAAAGCATTAGTTGGATAGACTCATCCTCCTTTTCGTCGATCCTCACGACATTCAACACAAGGAGCGCGTGGGACAGTGGGGTTGAGGACTCATTTGGGGTTTAGGGTCTTGCATGTTAAGGACCCGAAATTAAGTCTCCATCATAAGGGTACATAGGGTTTATAGGGTTTAGGGTTGGTTTAGGGTTTGTCTACATTTCAAGGCTCAATCTAGCAGCTTGTAAATAGGAGGAGAATCGTTTTGAGGTCTATTTTGGGGTACGTCATGCTAGCGCCTCACATTCCCAGGGCCCCTTAAATTACCCTTAACCCTTAACGCTAAACCGCAGAAACCTACACCCCTAAACCCTAAAACACCCCAGGCCCTAGACCCTAAGCCCTAAGTAGGCCACCCATCCCAGAAGCCCAAGCATTTGTCAGCCCTTCCTTGCAGCCCCCCCTCCATGTGAGCTACAGACGACTAAAGTGAGGTTGGGGGGGGCCTATTTATGGGGGCTCCATAGGGATTATTGGAGGTCATGTCCTATTGACTTGTTAAATGGCCTGGGGTTAGGAGCCAGGTGCAGGGAAGGCTTAAGCCTCTGTTTAGGGTTTAGGGCCCAAAAGTTTGTAGAATAATGGTTCCTCATTCCAGTGAGTCTAGTAGCTTCTGGGCCATTATTTATGTCCAGGTACCTTACAGGTCCTAAACATCCGGTCCTTCTTTTTCAAGCCTTGCGAGGACTATGTGCTACGGAATCTAGGGTTTAGTAGGCCCTCATCTTCTCCCAAATTAAGGTTCCCTTTTGTTTGGGGGGGTCCTAACAATAAGGATTATAGTAGCTGGGGTCTATAATATGGGGACTTCCATATTTATGGAAACCACCATGTCCCTCAAGCATACTTTTTGCAGCTGATAAATCTCGTCCCCCAACTCTCCAGAGGACAACTGAGGGAAGTACCCAAGGCGTCAACTGGGTACGGATTGTGGCTATAGTGTTTTTCTTCGTAGAATCACATGGACAGCTAGTGATTCATACAAACCCTAAACCCTAGGCCCTAAACCCTAACGCAAAATACTCGCTGAATCTGTCCACGTGGAGCAACAGCTTGATCACTTGTTGTGCAGGAGTTGGAAGTGCATCGTGGTGGTGTTAGCTGTTCTCATCATTGCGGCGCCCTCAGCTGAAACTGTGGGCTCCATGTCTTCTTGTTTGGGGACTAGGGTTTAGGGTTTAGGGTTCAGGTCTTGTGGTCCATATGAGTTGTTGACTCCTTTCCAGGCAGTATCGGGTCTATGCTTTGACAGGGCTGAGGTGTTCAGGCGAAGGCGTGCTCTGGTTGCGGAGCTTCTGCGGGTTGTTTGGGGATGCACCTCAATTGCGCAAGTTGGAGCCTGGAGAGATGCTCCAAATGCGAAGCCAGCGATGTGGAAAGTAGGCGGAGGCTTGTCTCCTAGCCTGCAACCCCGAATCCTGCCCTCCTCCGAAATAACATCGAACACCCTATATAGGCGCCTTTGCAGAGACTGTAGCTTTTGATGAACTTTCATGTTCATTGGTGCGGTAAATTCAGAGTTCTAAGCTACTAAGCTGTAAGTTCTGGGTTGAATGGCTGAGGTTTGCAATCCCAGTCCACATGTTCAGGAGTCTTGTTGCAGAAGTTTGGAAACATATCGGGTGCCTCCTGTGGTGGTTCTTATCGCGGGGGCCATCTTCACTGTTGGAGTTGGCACAACACATGGGAGTAGAGCTTGAGAAGTATTCTGACTGGTCCCAATAGTAGAAGTACAAGGGAGCGGTCGTTGCACAATTGCTCGAACTATAAGAGGGTTTCATGCATGTCCAGAACAATATTCTCATGACATTTGTTTAATGTATTTTTCATTTGTTGTTCCGGCTACATTTTGTCTACTGCAGGGAAGATTCATAGTCCGGCCCTGGGGGTTGTGTTTCATATAGGAAAAGAGATGGAGTGTTCGGCGTCGTGTCTTGAGTGGCTCCATGCACCTCAAAGTACGAGTAAAGATGACGCCAAACTCTGTGAAATGGATCAAGGAGGCATGATTTCACATACGATTTCCCTGCAAAGATTTGGTACCGGATACCTCAACTAGACCTCAGAATGACGTTGGTAATTATGCAGGCCGCCACATTACGCAACAAGCCCCAAGAAACCTCGACCCTGAACCCAACCGCCGTTTTGGGCCCTCTGGTTGAGGTGCTCCTGATTGTCGGTGGGTACTACTACTACACGACCACGGTCCAGCAGCCAGCCGTTACAACCACGACTGCAGAACCTACTGAAATTCTTCGGCACTTCGCCGAAGCGGTGGTGTTTGCGTGAAGAGGCAAAAGCTGCACAGTGGACTTAGACCATACTCATTTGAGAGTTGATGAAATAGTGGCCGCTAAGCCCTAAACCCTAATCTTTACCTGAGGAGGGTTCTGGTACATACCTTTCGGAATCCCAAGTAGCGCACAGCTTCAAAGAAGGCTGGCCGTAGCAGAACGGGTTCACAAGAGGAGGGGTGCTCTCCAAAGGTGTACTTGGAGGCAATGATGATCCCCATGCTGCACCTTGTTGCATGACAGGACTCTACTGAAGTCCCAAGTCAGCGACACCCCCCGATCATGAGCCTTGTGGGGCAAGCTGTGAGAGCGTGCGATTGCCGCGTGTAGTTGTTCGGTACATATCTGTACCCTAAAATCTACACCCTACACCCCAAACAGGTATTTAGAAACCTGTTGGTACTACAGTCCCCCTTAAGTAGATCGAATATAGCTTTGGGTATATAAGAATAAGATCCCCATAAACCCCACATTCTATCTACTTAAGGGGGGCTATGTATTAAACCCTAAACCCCAAATCCTAAACCCTAATTAGTAGTTTCCATTTTCTTTTGCATTATCCCCATGTAATCCCCAATAATGTGCCCATATTCTATCTACTTAAGGGGGACTGTAATTAGTTTGAATTGTACTATCGGTCATTCGCAGGTCCTGCTGGTGGCTTGAGCGGCTTGAAGCTTTCCAGGAGCGTACTTGGAGATGTAGGGTGATTGCAACTCACAAAATGCGGTTTAGGGTTTAGGGTTTAGGCTTTAGGGTACTGAGGAACCAGCTATATCGAGAACAGGGGACTTAGGCGGTTTGCAGTTCGTTTATGAGTACAGTTCGAACCCAAAGGGTCCATGTAGGTATCTAGTATATACTTAGGGCTCAAAAGGGTTCCCATATTATACCTACTTTCGGGCCTTGGCCTGTGCTCTGTATAGCTGCATGGACCCTTAGGGGAAGCTGGGTAGGCCACTCGGATATTTAATATTTTCCCTATATGGCTCTAAGAAGGGACCCTATATACTAATATTTTTCAAAAGGTTTTAGGGGCCAACCCAGGAAGTGGCTTATGATTTCCTTGAACCTCCTAGGAGCGAAGCAACCCGAGCTCCCCAATCCTTCCCTGGATGTCCTACTTTTTGGAGAGAGATGCCTCGAAAAACATAGGAGTATACCCACAAAAAGGAGGACACCAAGGCTCCAAACCCTTAGCCCGTAGGGTTTGAGGCTTACAGTTCGTAAGGGCTTTGGGTTGCACGGTTTAGGGTTTATGTTTTTGGGGTTTGGGGTCTAGGCTTGTGCTTGAAGTACTACCTAAACCCTAAACCGTAAACCGCGTAATGGTTTGCCTTGATCCTGTCTCCAGTGCCCTGTGGAGAGAGTTGTCGATCGATTCTGCGGCGATTGAAAAATGGCTGAGGGGTATTAGGGTTTAGTGGTATTCGGCTCTAGGAGTTAGGTGTAGAAGGTTTTAGGGGGGAATTAGGGTATATCCCTACCCAGTGTTGTCAGTACATCTCCTTTAGATATGGTATTCAAGGTTTACGGTGTGGGCTTATAGTTTAGGGCCAAGCCCGCAGAAATAGATGGAGACTGGAAGCCAACGAATGCGTTTCGCTTTGTTCTAGATCCCCCCAAAATTCCTCAAACCCTAAACCGATCCCTCAATCCTCACATCCCCAAATCCTGAAATCCCGAAACGCTTAGTAACAAACAGGGGTTCTGGGCCAGAGTTGGTATATTGTATAGTATAATGTATACCGGGACTCTAAAAGTAGGTAGACTGATGGCCCAAAATCACAAAAAAAAAGAGAGAGTCAAATGGGTCATTACTCTACATACTTTGGGGGTCAGGTATTACATCACATCATAAGGAATATTGAAAATTCTTTATGTTTCCACATTGAGGTTCTGAAACCGCTCGCAGGTTGTTACAAGTTAGGGCTCCTTCTTAGATCTTGAATCCAAACCCTCAAGTGCACTTTGCCCTATTGGGGGAGTCCATTAGTGTCTCGCAGAGTGTTTAAAAACTTGTTTGGGCCTATGAAATTAGCAGCTGCGTATGTTCTAAACCCTAAACCCCAAACTCTGAACCCTAAACCCTAAACTCTGAACATATTTGAACCCTAAACTTTAAACGCTGAACATCTTTGAACCCAAAACCCTAAACTCTGAACATCTTTGAACCCTAAGCCCTAAACTCCGAACCCTAAACCCCTAAACCCTAAACTCCATGCGAAAATCGTAGAACCCTAGACCACCACCTCAGCCCCAAGAGCAGGCACAGTAGTGGCTTGAAACCCGGAACAAAAAGGCCGGTATACTTCATTTAGGGTTGGGTTTAGAGTTTGGGGTTTAGGGCTTAGGGTTTCGGGGTTTAGGGGTTTAGGGGTTTAGGGGTTTAGGGTTTAGGAGCAGGGTTTAGGGGTTTAGGTTTTAGGGTTTAGGGGGTAAACCCATGTGAAACCAAACCAGCTTCCTTTCCATTGTCCAGGCTCCTTTTCCTTCTCCCTATGCCCTATATATATATATAATCCTCATATAACTCCCATATATCCCTAGACCCCACAGCCTAAAACATAAGGTTCTGCGGCGCCTCGGCCAAGTGCGCTGCGAAGGCATCATTTCCTGAGCTTGACATATGCTCTGCCCTAAACCCTCAACCCAGGGTTTAGGGTTTAGGGTACTTACAACAAGATTTAGGTTTGGGGGTTACCAGTGAGGCGAGGATTTAGGGTTTGGGCATCGTAAGGTTCATGGGGAAGTAGTACAATCCCTAAGGGTCTATGAAGCTATATAGTAAGGGTTTAGGGTTGAGGGCTTATAGTATCTAACCGGGCCCTAAAGTAGGTATATGAGAGCCCGCTTGGGCCCTAAGTATGTATATATATATATATGTATACTTTTTACCATACACCTACATGGACCGTTTGGGAAGGCGAGGCTAGTTTTGTTGGTTAGAAGCAGACCGCTAGTTCAATGTGGGGTTAAAAGTAGCAGAAGCATGTGAGCCAGGCGGCTTAGGATTTAGAGTTTAGGACTCATAGTCCTCTTCAAGTGGATAGAATAGGTGTATATGCGGATCTGGTTATAATATACCCAGAGCCATATGCTATCTACTTAATGGGGACTATAGGGTTCAGGGTTTGTGGGTAGCCGTGTTTTACACGAACTCATGGTCCGTGCGGCTTGGTTTTGGCTTTGGGTTCAGGAGGGTGTGGGTTCGTGTTTAACCTGAGGGTTAGATTAGGCTGTGGGTTACCCCCCTAAACCCTATAGTCCCCCTTAAGTAGATAGAATATGGGGTATATGGGGATCTTACTGTAATATACCCAAAGCCATATTCTATCTATTTAAGGGGGACTATAGCCCTAAATCCTGATCATCGTTCATGACAGTCAAAACTGGCCTTGCAAGGACTGCTGTCCCTCGAAGAGGGGACCATGCGCAAGTTATCTCATCTCATGTTTCTTTGGGCGCAGAGTAGTGTCTGAATCAGCATATGAAACATGAGTTTACAGAGTCATAAGCACTACTCTGATCGGCTAGTGTTGCTACCTCGCTTGTACCAAACCTGGCAATTCTGAGCAACACCCGACGCCCTTGGTCCCAAAATCGATAATGCTAGTCGTCCCAAAACCGGCACCAGTTTTGCAGTGAAGGTCTGCACACCTTGCCTCTTCATCACCTGTATATGTACATACATCTACGAGGGACCGTTTCTTGGATCAAGTCCCTTGAAGTATTTTTCTGTGTCATTGGGGCTTGTGTTGAGGAGGCATAACTAATCCCATCGATGTTAGGCATCTTTAGTACAGCACATAGCGAGTACACAAGAAGCATAACATGTGTCATCGCATAGCCTCAAAGTGCAGACATTGCTAACGATCATACAAACATACAACCAAGAGTGACAGATACATAGGCCAGTAGCGTGAATCAGTGCGGTGATGTTATGCCATGCCATATGATCCTTTGAGGAATTGGCCCAAAGCAAGTATTGCCCTGACCTGAAGCCACAAATCCCGAGCCCTGTACTAAACCTGCGCAGGTGCTGCTCGGAACATCGATCCCACTCTCCGTGGCTCCGGGCGAGTTGTTTAATGTAGGTACTGAGTCCTTCGACTGCAGGTAATCTGTACAAGAACGGAGAGGATATTGAAGGGGCAGAGAAGGATTCGCTTCACAAATCTGAGGGTGAGGTGCGTGGTCCCTCTCTGGTACTCTGGAGAAGGGGGGCACCCCTTCCTGGGAGGTAGAGGGGCCCCCAGCGCCATGGACATCTTCTCGCGCACATATATTTGTGCATATTATATATGTATATACATACATATAGTTATGCATGTATACATATTGTTGCCTGGAGCTCCCTAAAAAGGTAGATAACTTAGGCTGGCTTACCATGTATTGATATGTATGCTTGAGTTTAAAGGCCTTTCGGTTTCATCCTGTTGCTGGTCTGGGGTGTAGTATGGCTCGGGGGAGAGAGAGCCCTACATCAACCTTAGAAAGCCAGATGTGAGTCCAAACGCGGTTTAGGGTTTAGGGCCTTTAGGGTTCAGGACTTAGGGATTAAGGGTTTGTGGTTCAGGGTTTAAGGTTTGGGATTTAGGGCTTGAGGCTTAGGATTCAGGGTTTTAGGGATACTCGGTAGCTCAAGGAATCCAATCAGACTAGATAATTACTTGCGCTTCTACCCTAAACTCTAAAGACCTCCTTAAGTAAGCCCTATACACCCCTTATAAAAGGCGCTAAGCCCTAAATCCCCAAACCCTGAACCCCTAAACCCCAAGCCATTGATGCCAGATCCTCTTCATTGGGCACACCTTGTGGGGAGCCCATGGTGGCGGGCTTCAACCGGGCATCACAGCGTGCGCTGCCGGGGGTTCAGGGTTTGGAGGTTTAGGGTTGAGGGCTGAGGGGCCAGGGTTGAGGGTTGAGGGTTTAGGGGCTCAGGGGTTCAGGAGTTGGCCTTAGGCGGGTTTTGGGTGGGTTTGAGGTTAGGAG